CTGATGATCTGCAGCTTAGAGTAGCAGTTCAGCTGGCTGAAGTCGTTTCCTCCTACCCCCCCTTCTTTTTGTGGTGGGGAAGGAAAGGTCACATGGTTGGAAATAAGGGGGTTCCCACCCAGAATGCTTCTTGTGAGAGATGTGCACTTTGAAGGGTGCTTTCATTACAAGTGTGTCTGGCTGGCTTTGCGGAGGAGGAACACTCTTACCCGCAAGTCTCTGCTGAAGTGTCTGCTTCAGCCCCTTTCCTACCTCTTCTTACCATTTCTCCCCCAAGGCTTCTAGCATCTTGGGTGTCTAGAGAGAGAAAAGTCTACCCAGGAGTCAGAGGGAAATGCAATCTTGTCAGGCAACCAGTCAGAGACAGTAGGTGAAAGGCCTGCTTATCTAGACTGACCCGGCTCCTGGCATGGCTTCTGGAAAGGGAGCTGACCTAACAAAGCTCCTCCTACTCAGCATGCCAGTCCTGCTTTGAAATCTCACTGAACCTCTAGTTGAAAAGGGTGACTTTTGGAAGACCCAGTGGACCCTTTCCTCCAGGCACCCCCACCCCTCCTTTGTCAGTCTGTGCTGTGCCTGAGTGCCTGCACGGCCCCAGCTGTCCCCTGCCCTAACATCTCAGGACGTTGTCTGGACCTGGGCTTTGTTGGTAGCTGTACCACCTTTCCTTGTCTACAAAACTGATGTCTACTCTGACCAAGACCTCTAGTGTTTGGGGTGTAGGGATCTTAATCCCTTCTCCTCCATTCTCCTCTCGGGATCTTGGGCACACACGCACATGCGCTTGGCACCAGGACTTGAACTGTGGTCAACTACATGGGAGTCCAGCGACATAGCCATTGTACCAACTGCTGGTCCCTAATCTCTGTTTTTAAAAACTCAAAATCATGCCCCCTTGTATTCCACTGCTAAAGGAGGAATAAGAAGGGAACTATGCTGAGGGCCAGGACAAAGGCCAGTTCCCTGCTGGCATTTTTACACAGCCCTCCTCACCCCCAGGATGGAGGTTTCTAGCTATCCTCTCCCACCACCAGCTCCAAGGCCTCGGATAGTCCAGATAGCATTTCAGTACCTGAAATATATTTTGTTTTGTGGTGGCATATTCCTTTCTGATCTTAGTTATATGTACCTTCTCCTTTGTCTTAAGCTCATGTTTTCTTTACAACTCTTAGCTTCAGCTCAGACTGTGATATTCCACTGGGTACTGGAATTAGGCTTCTCCACCAGCTTTCAGGTGGGCGAGGGGTTATTTTGTTTGTTTGAGGTGTGAGGGGTTGTCTTTAGACTCTTGAAGGCAACTCAGGTTATTGTCCACTCAAGTTCTCTGGTTAGGTTTTTCCCAGACTATAATTCTGATATTTCCCTTACAGATAGACTTGGACTGGCTGAGGCCTGGCTGAGGCCTGGCTGAGGCCTGGCTGTTATCAAGAGTCCCAACACTCTGAGGTCTGGTCTCTGCTCTGTCAAACACTTTAGGCAAGTCTTGTGACCTCTTGCTCTTTCACTTCCTCCCCAACTGCTAAATGGGGATAAATAATCTTGCCTACCTCCTGGGGGGATGGGAAGGTTCTGAGACCAGAGTCATTTTTAGCGTTCAGGTGCAAAAGGTTGTTCTCCTGGGAGGAGGGAGTGAGTAATTTCCTACCAGACCTACACTCCACTGGTTCATTCCTTGAGAGCAGTTGTTTGATCAGTCAGCTTTCGGGAGTCCATCTACAGGAAGCAGCTGGCTTTCCCATGCGTCTTTCAGACTCTGGTTCATGTCAAAACCAATCTCCACCTTTGTAATGCATTTGGGATTGTGATCTCTTCCCTTTTCTGCCCTCCACTCTCGATGTTGCTCTTTCTGGGATCCTGCAGGTTGAGTCTTGAGCCCTTTCAGATGAGAACCTTGGGAGTAGGCCTCTTCTCTGGCTATCTCATGAGCAGTTTATCCCTCATTCATGGGATGACCATTTGCACAGGGTTTCATCAGTGTCCTTCCTCATAGAAAAACTCATTAACTGAATATAGCAACCTACACACAGCAGGTGCTCAGTAAATGTCCACTGAGGACACCAACAGAGCTTCCTCCTTCTGGGAGCAAATCCATATTTATCTGGTTACAGGCCACATAGTCTAAATCAAAACACTCTACTCTTGTGCTGCTTGTGACTTCCCAGACTAGTCATCTCTTTATATATATATTTTAGAGAGATTTTTGCTGTAGGGAGTATGTGTTCACCAGAGAGACAGAGAGATGGAAAGTGAGAAATCAACCCCCAGGGGGGATGGCCCCACCATAACCCCTTCTCCTCCATTATCTTCTCAGGATCTTGGGCACACACGCACATGCACCTGGCATGAATTTTAAGTTGTCAGATCCAGGACTCAAACTGGGGTCAACTACGTGAGAATCCAGCATTACACCATCTGCTGGTCCCCAGACTAGTAATTTCTACTGAATCCTGGAAAGAGAAATTCTTGGGGACCTTGGCAAGTTGGTGACCTTGGCAAGTTGGCAAGCCCTGACCTTCCTGCTGTTCCTCTTCTGCCTCTTACTGATAAAGCAGTATCAGCACTACTGTGTATGTGTGTAACGTATTAATACTTGACTTTGTTGAGCTGCAAAGTCTCTTTCACGTAGTATGGATCCGAAGAAAAGCAGCTCATTGATGCAAATCTTGGCTAGAGCTGTGGCATTTCTTTTCTCTGGTTCAATCTTCTAAACATGAGAAATAAGAGTAACCTCTAGCGTACACATTCTTCCTTATAGGATTTTTTTAGCTTCGTAGAAGACAGAAGAGTGGTTTTCAGAGAATGAACATTTTAGTGGGAATTTGTCAGCTTTGGGGGAATTGACAGCTTATGAGGGCCAGAATCAGTCCCTGGTCCGTGGTGGGACATCTCTAGAGATGGGGATAGGAAGGGGGATTGCTAATTCTGGCACTATTAGAAATCCCTGTATGAGTTAGAAGAGAAATCAGTCAAGTCCAGGTAGTAGCCTAAGTCTTCAATCATCATTCCTGTCTAGATCTGTGTACTCAAGAGAAAGGGTGGCATGTGAGAGTGCTTTGGACGTTCAGAGCTGGCTGCTTGGACCCACGGCAGGTGGGGGGCACAGGTCTGGACTGACCCTTCTATACTCTTGGGCCTGGCTGGTTATAACACTAAGGGCTCTGATCTGTGCTGCTTTGCCACTGGGGCTGTCCTGCCTGTTACCCTCTATAGCGTCCTGTCCTTCCATGTCTTTAGGCACGTAAATTAAATCCGAACATCACGTCCATTCTTTTTATTTTAAATTACCACAGGGCACATGCTCTTGTCAGACAGAGACAGAGGGAGACAACATTCCCTAATGGGGCATGGTCATACTGTATTCCCTTCTCCATTTCTCCATTCTGTTGGGATTTGGGGCATACACACATGTGTGCCCAGTGTGATTTCAAGCTGTTAGGAATGGGATCCGAACTACAGTCAACCATGTGGGATCTGGTTCCCTTAACCACTATCAGCAGGCCCCTCCTGTTCATTCTTAACCTGAGTTCTACCAGTGTAATACTACAGCAAAGTCATGTTGGATAAGGATGATGTGAAATGATATGGCTTCAGAGGTGTCAGGAGCCCTGGGGTTCAAAGTATCTGACTGTCTTAAGGGAGAAACAAGAAAGTTTTATTACTAGGTGTTTTCTGTTATATTCTTTCCTCTGTGTTTTTTTGTTTCCTGTTTTATTTTTTCAAAGAATTATTTTATTCAACTCTATATTTATTTATTTATTTATTTATTTATTTATTTTAATTTGACCAGAGAGGAGCAGAGCAAGAGCGAGAGCAAAGGATGAGAGAGAGAGAAAGTGAGAAAGCAAGCTGCCAGATCTTACACTCAAACCGTAGTAGCCTTGTGGGAGTCTAATGCCCTTAATCACCGTGCCACCTGCGGGAACCCCATTGTTTCCTGTTTGTTTGTTTGTTTTTGAGATATTTTTGCTATAGGGTGCATACGCTCGTCAGAAAGACACAGAGACAGAGAGACAGAAAGTGAGAAATCACCCACCAGGGGGGATGGCCACACTGCAATCCCTTCTCCTCCCTTCTCCTCTCAGGATCTTGGGCACACACGCACATGCGCCTGGCATGAGTTTAAGCCACCAGGTCTAGGACTCGAACCACAGTCAACTACACAGGAGTCCAACAACACAACCATTACGCCAATTGCTGGTCCCATCCTGTTTTAAAATTACGTTAGGGCCTGTGTCAACATCTCAGGAGGTTCATCTTGATCCATTTACGTGGACTATGGGGTTGGGAGAGAGTTTGAAGTTTGGTTGAACCAGGATTTCATTTGATTCTTACCAGTGGGCATCATAGACAATTTAGGGGGAAGCATGGCACGGTGGTATGATTTAAACATGTAATAATCAGGCGTGTTGAAGAGTTCATTGGTCACACTGGAGATGAAAGGTGAACATGGATTGACCGGGAAAGGGCCTGGGCTTGTTGTAGTAAGGACGACCTGATTGACTGAATTGACTATGGGAGGTTAGGTCATAGCAAAGTAAGTAAGACAGAGGCCAAATTTCAGGGAGCTGTCTTGGCCTCTAAGAGCTGTTTACTAATCCCCATGGAGACTACAGTAAATTCCAGATGGGAAAAAAGTATACACCACAGTTGAAGAGCTGAACTTACTAGGTTGAATGTTGATTAGGAATCTATCAGCCTTTTTCTGGGAAGTCTTCATCCTCAGCCTCCCTGAGGTAGGGAAGACCTCCCACATTATGCAATAATAAAATAAGCAAGTGGGTATTTGCAGCTGTCAGTTGGCCTTTCAGTTCTGGGATCCATTCTTGGACCAGGTGCCTGATCTAGACCTAGGCTAAGACTGGTTCTCAAGATGCGAGAGTCAGCTGTCTTTTCTCCTTCCCTGCAGACTGCACAGGGCCCAGAATGGAGGTGTGATTTGTCCAACTGATAATAAATACACTTTTCACACTAAGGTTCTCTTCATTATTTCTCCTGTTAAGCCTCTCCTACCTGATAGATTACGAGCTCAGCATCTGTGTGATCCCAAAGCCATTCCACTGAAGACACCCCAATTGAAGATGGCCTCAGACTGAGTTCCTATCAGCCCAGGTAACTTTACCTACTGTCACATTTGCAAGAGTTTATTTGTGACTTTCTGATTGTTGTCAGCACTGAGGTTCTTCAGAGAGAAAGACTGTGTGAGAGCAAATGACACGATGGTTTTACACCCACCTCCTGAACAGCGAGTTTGCACATGGTTGTGAGCTGTGAGTTGCTCATGCAGTGCTGGTATTGCTAAAGGCCACATGGATCCCTCCCTCCTTTACTTGATACTCACATCCGAGAGAATCTAGATTGTGTTGGGGAAGAGACTGGATCCACTTTGGGCTAACCCGAAGTACTAAAAGAAGGCTGTCTCTTACAGCCCTCCTAGCCACACAGGATCCCTGTGGTCAAAACGAGCATGTCTCGGCTACAGAAAGTAGACTGCTCTCAGCAACCTAAAGGATGGAAGAACATGGAGGAATAGAGTGGAGAAAAAAACACGGGAATGTTGTCATCCAAGTGACTTTAGGGTCCTCAGGAGTAGAAAAAGATGGAGCTGGGAGATCTGGATAGATCTGGATAGATCTAGTTTGTATGAGATCCCTGTAGATGAATTAGTGATTCTCTAACTACTATTTTCAGGATGTAATGGCAACTACATTATATCAAAAGCCTCAGGAATTGTCAGGTGCTCCCCACCCCTAATGCCATTTTCACCCTCTAATCCTACCTTATCTTTAAGAAAGCATTGATAATTCTAAGGATAATCTATTTTGTTGTGCTTTTTTAAAAAATGCTCTAAATAATGTGTACTGTAAAAACAAAAAAAGAAAAATATTCTCGGGCCAGCAGGTGGCATAGTGGTTAAGGCTGACTCCATGGTTCAAGTTCCAGACCCAGCAGCCTAAAAAATCATGCTAGGTGTGTGTGTGCATCCTCAAAGTCCTGACAGGAGAATGGAAGAGAAAGGATTGTGGCATAACTGTCCTGCTTGGGGAGTGATTTCTCACCTTCCTTCTCTCTCTGTCTCTCTTCAACTAGTGTACTTGCCCTATGGCAAAAATAAATAAACAAATAACTAACTAACTAAATAAATAAAATAAAATAAAAATCCTCAAACCATGGTTTGCTCAATAACACAGCAAAGAAGTTTCTAGAATTGGGATCCAAATGTCACTGATTCCTTTGATAAGCCATGCACCTGTAAAAAGTTTTTTTCCACTCTCACTTACCCACTTCCTAATCTACCTGTCAAAAATGTTACTTATTTTCCAAAAGCTAAATTTAAAAATTACTTCCTCTATGAAACTATCTCTCTTTGTCACATGTCCCCCAAGTACAAAATGACTCATACTCTATGGTATAG